GCCTGGCATATCTTAAATGCAATTTTTTAGTTTTCCCTCCAGATCTAGAAACTTTTACTTGCAGAGGATCAAATTCAACAGCCTGGTTAAACTCCAAAAAACATCAGAAACCAAACCAGTTCTATCATTCAGTTGTTGAATCAATAACCCTGTGATGGAAGAGGAGATTATCAAGAAAAATAGTTCTAAGGTCAAAGCATCTAAACCATCATCTGTCATATCACATATGAAGGGCTGTTTTTTGATTATCTGATCTCTCTCCAGCAATCATCTGTGTAGACATGCCATTTCTCAGTGATTATGGGAGTCCCAAGGATGTGAATATCCAGAAGTGTGTGCACAAGAGAGCTGTTTGATACAGCCTCTTGGGATTTCCAAAAGACATGAAGTAAATCTCTTTTGCCAAAGATTCCAAAAGAAATTAAGTGAAAGATGTATGTTGTGTCGTATACAATTAGCTAAAAGATGAGAAACAATGATTCAATTTTTGTAGTAAGTGGAATTTGTCAGGGAAGCCCTGCAGGAGTTTGTGCTGGGCCTTGTGCTGTCTGAAATCTGAAAGGTAATGGATGAAGTCTGGCCAAGTTTGCTTGTGTTTTTAAGCTCCTTAAGGACCAACTGAGAGGGGGTGCAGAATCAACCTTTCAAGGCGTTGCATCAGGAGGGAGAGAAATACATTAAACTTTGTCGAGAGTGGTAGGCCCCAGGCTGACAGTTTCTTGCAAAGATGAGATCTTGCTGTTTTTGCAGAAAACTGCTTTGATAATGCTTTCTTAATTTCATACAGAATATTGTCAAACCAAGTTTTAGACATTATTAGGAAAAAAAAAGTAGAAATGAAAGCATCATGTAAAAATCCATGTACATCCCCCATCATGAACATTGAGTACAGTTTTGCCTCCTACATCGGAAAAAAGTGATAATACAAATGAAGAAGAATAGGGAAGGATGGTAAGAGTAGTCAAACATGGAGTTGCTTTTGTGTGAAGAATGATTCTTTAACCTGGAGAAGAAAATTAGGGGGTATATGATCTAGGTCTGTGTAGCCATCAGCAGTATATGGCTAAGTCAGAGAGCAGAATGACAAGAAGTTAAATAATCTTTGGAAGTTTGATTACCTTTTGATCAAACCAGGGATATGACTACTTCTAGGATACAGGTAGATAGGCTGAATTGTTGTTTGCTGTGGTGCTTGTGTGATCTTGTGGTGACCTGCCTTCCTGCCCCCAATAATTTTCTTTCTGAATCCTCAAATTGAGGATGAAGTTGCCAGGTTTTTCTCATTTACAGATAAAGAGGATAGCCTTGCTGAGTCTTTATATGCTTCTTGGTCAGTGTTTTGTTCTGGTTGTACAGTAACAGAACTAAAGTTTTCCTTTGTCTTTTTTCAGCATATAGTTGAGGGTAACTGTAGTGAATGGCTGGTTTTAGTGTTTTGACTGTTGAAGGATCCTTTTTAGTATTTTGACCTCAAATAATGTAGATGCTTAATGGTTTGCTTTATATAATTGGGAGTCAGATGTACACTTACTGAACTAGAAAACTTTGCACAAGAGTGTGACAAGATGGTGTGTTTGCTTGAAGGACCACAGGCCAGAAATATAAAACATATTCAAAATTCTTTATTTCATGTTGTTGACTTTCATAAACAGATTCTAGTAGATGTTTTAACAACATATGCGAGTAAGGTTTTGGCAGTTGTGTGTCTTAAGAATGAGGGATTCTCAGTTTTCATTCCCTTTTTCTCTTTGTCCTTGAATATTTTACTGAGGATAGCACTTAGCATGTCTGTCTTGGGTGTCTAGAAGTTGCATGTAGAAGGTTGATTAAGTTGCTGTAGGACACAAATTAAAAAAAAAAAAACAAAACAGTTCAAGGGTTTTTTACCACCCTGCAGTTAACTTTAATTATTCCTCAATACTAGTCTTCACCAGTTTGTTTTTCTGTATGCTCCGTGTCTCTTCTGATGATAATTTGACAGTAAAATGTTGTTTATGGAATTATGCCTTCGGTAACTGTTTTAGTTTTGTGCATACAATTGTAATTATGGCTTGGTGTTCTCTTTTTTTTTTTTCCTAATCCAAACTTGTTTGGAAATATAGGTTACTAAAGTAACTGCAGATATCTCATATTCTAAGCAGTTGCCTCCAATGTTAGCTTTAATGGTGCTTCTGTTTAACTGCTTATGGAAGACAAAATGATGTATAAGCTTTTGTTGAAGGCAGTCAGTTGTCTGTTCTAAAGTAATTGTTGTCAGACATAAGAAAAAGTTGCTTGCATTGAAGTTAACAGTATTTGGGAAGTCTGTTTAAATTTCATCTTCTGAAACTCTTGTACCTATTTTAAGTACATACACATTAAACCAATTTACTGTATGCCATTAGGTGATGGGAGGACACCTGTAGTACCTTATGATGTGGTAGAATTACTCAGGCTTCCACTAGACCTTTTTGGCAGTTTCTGTTCCAAGTTATTGGAGATTCCCCCCAAAGAAAGTGTCATGCTATGTTCCTCATCATTTAATTGTTTTGCCTTGCTCTGAATGTAAAGTGTGATCTAGGAGCCGTGTAGCTTTGTGGTCAGACCAGTAGGATTTATAAGCTCCTTACAGGCCATAGCCAGTTTACCTGTAGCTGAGTGAGATTGTGGGAAGAGCAGATTTGTGCGTGGTGTGTATCAGCTCATATGATCACACCCTTAAATTTATCCATGATGTTTTGGAAAGTCTTACCAAGAAGTATGTCACTTGGTCATGCTCTTTCTGAGATCCTCTAAAATAAATGCAATTGTCACTATTTAAAGTGGAAGGTTTCTGTTTTTAAGGGTGGTGCATAGTGAGTGCATTTCATACTGAGATCCAAGTTTTTTCAGGATGCCTGGAAATCTACACCATTTCATTTGCAGGACACTTCAGAAAACACTTCTTAAGCTTTAGTGCCATCAGACTTGCACAGCTAAAATCAGACAAGCATGAAAAGACCAGTTCCTTCAAGCAGTGCTCTGTAGGAATGAATTGTATGTTGAAGAAATGCCACTGGTAATATATTTTGTTTCAGTTGTTTGTATGCCTAAACTGAGTGCTTATCTTGTGTTTTTTAGCAGCACAGCGGAATGAAGTTTTCCATGAAAGGAACTCATAACCAAGGCAACAGCTACAGCCCTGTCAGCAGTGGAGGCATGAGGCAACCAGTTGGTAATAGAGGACACCACCAGTACAATCGTAATATATGGAGAAGAAAAAAACACAGAGACAGTTTGCCTATTAGTCTGAGCAGATAATGGCAGATGCCAAAATGACCTTCCCTGTTCAGACAAACTGAGTGAGTGCCACTCAACTTGAGGGATGGAGACCAGCGTCCAGCACATCGTTTTATTGGTGTTGCCAAATATCTGCAGCTGACTTCTTTGCATGTTTCTTTGTGTGGTGGTTCAGTCCATCTTCAAGAAGTAGTTGTGCTTATCTGTGAAGCCTTATTAAATGTGGAAGTTTGTTTTCTGCCTTCCCACAATGGTTCATACAGTGCCGAAGCAGCTCTGACAATAGAACTGCAAGGACATTTACAAATGCTGTGGCTTTTTTGCTGTGGCTACATCTGTTCCTTTGTGGGTTCTGTTTTCTTTTATTTTAGAAGTGAAGGAAACTTCAGCCCCTTGGAATTATTTTTTTCTTTTCTTTGCAGCAAATCAAGTTGGGAATTCATAAAAGTAAATTTGCTGCTCTTCTGTTTTTGTTTCGAAGTTCAGAATTTTTTGCTCTGTAAATATTGGAAGTATAATTTGTGCAATAACTTGGAATTTTTAATTTAATTTCATATGTCACATAAGTTATATTTAAGGGGAAGAGGTTTTTTAATTTACAGATCCTTTCCCAGGTTGCATTATCTAAGTTGGGTTCATAGTTTTGGCAGGTTGTCTGAGCAGTGTTACAAACATGACATTTGGTAATACTTGAGGCTTCTTGATTCACAACGAAAGTGCGATTTGGCTTACGGTTTTAAGAAGGTATTAAGCTCCAAAGCATTTTGACCCTGTGTTTTTTAGCTCATTGTCTGGCCTCTATCAGTCGTCTTGCTCTGACCAATGAGTTTTAATTTTATTCCTTTAACTAGACAACAAATCCAGCATTTGTATTACCAGAAGTAAAACTTTTGAGAGGGAGGGGGAGAAGGTTGGTTCAAGTCCTGATGTTAAATTAAAAAGCTGTGAACTACATGCTTTGATGCATTTTAGAAACGTAACCTGTTAATGTTTGGGTTCAAACAACATTATTAAACAGAGGTACCCGGCTTAAGGAATGTGGAGAAAGGAAATATGTTGATTCCATTAAGGAATCTGTATAGCAGTATGCATTAGTTCTGTTAAGAGCAAATATATAAAAAGTACTTCAGCTGCTCTAAGCATTACGAGAAGTATCTTTTAATGTATTGCAGGAGAGCACAGCCCAGTGTTGTACACAGTATGAGTGGCTGGCACTTAATTTACAGATGCATACAGGTATACTATGCAAGTGTGTATTGCCATGACAAACACTGTCTTTAACTTTTTGAAAAATGTACATCCTGCCTAACCCTGAGTTTTTAAAGCACCACAGTTGTCCTGGGAGTAGGTCACATCTCATGCCCTCTGACTTCCCATTTTTTTTAATGAGAGTTCTTAATGAGAGTTCTTAAGCTATACAGAAAACTACAGATCAGTTATATAAGTCCACTAGCAGAGAAAGCTGAAGAATCCTGTTAACAGGACATCTATACTGTATACAGATATAGAAGGTTTTAAAACTGATATCTGAGTATTAAAATGAGGTGTCAAGCATGAAGCTTTTTAATATGCTCTATGCCTTTGAAGCAGAAGTAGTTCATGTTATTACTGAATCTGTTGAACACAAACAGGTCCTTGAGGGGAGAGAGGGCAACATTCCAAAGTAGAGTAGTGCATATCTGTTTGCAAAAAGTTTGTCTTAATGCTCCGGACTCATCACAATTTAAAAAAAAAAAGTTTTAAAAATTGTGAGCTGATTCATAAATAATATCTAAGGGCTGTTACATAAGCCTGTACTGCTTAGTCTTTACACACTAGCAATATTGAGCATAACTACATTAAAGAGCCTTCAGAGGCTTTAGTTGGTGTCTTATACTAGCGTCCATTTTAAAGCAGAACTCATCTGAAAAGTGGTATCATGTAACACTTCAGTCATGGTGAACCAAATAAATTGGCCTGGCTATCACTGTGGTTATGTGCTACAGGTTTAAAAAAAATCATGTTTAAAATTTTTGTGTGGACAACTATGTGGAAGCTAAAATTGACATATTTTTATGTAAAGTTTTCTATTCTTTGATTTTTAATAAACTTTGGAGACCAGTCACTCTTCTGTACATTTTTATGGGAAATTTAATGGATGAAGTAATACTTGACCTTACCCCATTGTTTGACGAGGCTTTGAAGATCTCTTTTTAAATTGTTCATGCTGAACACCTTCAGCATGAGCTTGGAAGGTGGATAGTCACCCTTCACAAATGTGTTTGATGTGTTTGTAAAGGGAATAATGAACATGCCTGTTAGTTTTGTAGTTGTGGATTTGATCCCTTGATGATGAGAGAGCAAAGGAGCTGGAGGTAGTTCCCAACAGTATTCTTGGAAGAGGAGATTGACTAACTGATGCCTTGAGATACCTTAACTTTCAGTATAATTTTAGTCCCTCCCTGTAGGTTCTAAATTCCTTTCAAAATTTTTGTCCAGTCTTCAGCATCCTCAAAAACTGCACATATTGTGTGTCATTTGTTTTCTGTTAACCCTCTGAGAGGCCTCTGAAATGTCAATAACTGACTCAAATTCAAAATTTCAGAAATTGAGTCTTTGGGAGAAACTTCTGTAAATACCTGAACTCCAAGAAAGGGAACTGAAATATTTTTAATAGTAATGCAGGACTAGGGATTCAGAATCAGACTGCGGTAGCTGGTTAGTCTTAATGAGTATCTACCAGAGAAAAATAGAAGAGTGGTAGGAAGGGAAAATAACAAACACTCAATAGTAGATGGGATAATATTTTTCTTCTGTCAAGGTCAGCCAGTGGGACATGACTGACAGAGGGATATAATCTGCAGATGCAAAGGTTGAGTGCAGCAGCATTGGTCTTGGAATTTCAATTTTCCTGGGCTCTACCTTTTCCTGTTCAGATGATGGCTTTGTTTTATTCTTCCCACAGATTCTGCCCAACTATTTATCCTTGTTAGTAGTCTTTTAACACATTAGGAGTCTCATTTTGTTCCTTTGAACCCTTATTCTCTGATAACAATCTCAGATAACCACCTGATCAGTTTCCCAGCCCTACTGACAAATTTATACACTGTTCATCGGTACAATTAGCTGTGGACTTCAGATGTAGAAGGAAGAGGCTTCAAACAGACTGGATGAACAGGACCCCCAGAGTACATCATAGGAAGAGCTTAGTTGCTATCTGTTGCCATTTCCAGATGATGTCAGTGGTGGTGTTACATTGGACTTTTCCGGTAACTCCACCCTGCCATGCAGCCAGGCAGGGTAAGAAGACAGAAATGTGACTGCTGGTACAGTGTTGCTGGTTCTCCAGTGTTTGTTTTCATGGGGACAGCTCTGGGACATCATCTTGAGAATGGGTATAGCAACAGTCTGTCAAAGAGCAGTGCTGAAATACAGTATACCTTCAAGTAATATGACCTTTATCATTTATGGGCAAAAAGAAAAGCTTGACTTGTGAATGCTAACAGGCAACAGGTAACAGTGTATATGTGGAGGGTGAATGTGTCAACTTCTGAGCTGTCAAGGGCAACAAGCCTTCTACTGTATGGCTGCTGCCAATATAGTCTGGTTATAAATTTAATAACACCTGGACTAAGTTATGTCCTGAATTCTCCAATTAAGTGACATGACAGAGCCACTGATGAGGTTGCTGATCATGTCTTGTACTACTTCACATAAAATATTTTAATCGGGGCTTGGAGTGTTCTGGTAAGTAAATGTGGTGCCAAAAAGGAGTATTTTGGAAGTGACCTTAGGAAGATGGGAAGCCTGAAAGAGAAAGATCCTGGACATCAGGGAGCTGTGTGGAGAAAAACAGCAGGGCATGCCCTGGGACCTTGGCTGATACTGCCTTGGACTGGTAACTGTGGGTAGCTGTATAGTGTGAAAGGGGTATGCTTTTCTGCCTGACCTTCACATACCAGCAGCAAGCCTCCCTGCTGGGAAGGGAGTTGAGACCCTAGCAAACATAACAGTTTGGGGGAGTAGATGGATGTGTGTGACATAATCAGCTGGGATAAAAGCTCTAATCTTGCTGGTTTGTAAATAAACAGTATTCAGACCTAGTGCAGGTGGTTGTTTAATTTACCTGTAAGAGAAAATGGTGTCAGAGTGACAATACTGATAGTTTACTGAATCTCAGATTCACTGCTGGAAAACTGTTGTAGCTGACCTGTCTCAATCTTCTTTGAATGGTTTTACAATAGTTTAATACTCTGGTTGAAAAGAAAGTGTATTAAGTTTGGTTTGTTTGGGGTTTTTTTAATTCCTTCTAACACATTGCATAAGTTTCGGTCCTGGAGGTGTCTTGCCTATTTTGGATGACAGAAGTCCTTCATTTGTTATTGGCAGTAGGAGATCACTAAAGGAAGCCTATGGACAGCTTGTGTCTGCAAGAGATCTAGTGGGCAGAATGTTTTTAACTTTTTAACAGAAGATCTAACCAGATCTAACTAGTAGATCAGCCATGTATTTGTTATAATTAAAGTAATGGTCACAGACTACAGATGTGTTCCAGTGAAAGGATGGTAGGGATGCCTCTTCTAGAACATCTTTGTACCTGAAACATGTAAAATTGATGTCTAAAGTTCTGGCCACATTTCTTCTCACTGTTATGCTACTACAAAAGTTTTGATGCAGAATGTTTCCAATGGCATAGCAGCATTTCAGTTCCAAATCAATTAGACATTCTTCAACCATTTGCTTTTTTCATGTCTTTTTTATTGAGGGATTGTTGCATGAACATAAAAAGAAATTATGAATGGAGAGATTTTTTTTTCCTTCAGGGAATAGCCCATATTCTTGCTCATACTGTTGATATGTATGTCATATAAGGATCAGGAAATTTTTCTCCTGTGTTATTGCTAATGGCCTTTGTGCTGCTGCCTCTCATGCTAGAATTGTGGGTGTAAAGGGCATCTCATCCAACCTTTGCTGTGAATTTTTAGCTGTACAGCAAGCTGTTTTCAGCTTCAATAACTTATGGGAGCTGAACAGTAGGTTGATTTACTGTCTTACTAAAAAATGGGTTCTAAATAAATGCTTCACTGACTCATCTTTAAACTTAAACCAAGCAGGACTTAGGAGCACCTATTAGAGGATTTTCAGTGTGAGAGGATGAAAGCAGTGTTTAGAGTGAAAGTCCATAACCTAAAATTATACCTTTCTATAAGTGAAAACTTTGGCACTGATCCACTTGGGGATGCTCTATTGAGAAAATCTTTGCAAGAAGATTAATCTATTAGTAGTTCATATACATGTGTGCGGTCTGCAGATGAACAGACCAGAGTTGCAGTTCTCAGCTGCAAGTTTAAGATCTGTTCTGCTGTCCTTAGGAATGCCCTTAGGGAAGCAAAGTCAGGTCAGTAGCTATGTTTGCCCCTCAGATTAAGAGGAAATGCTGCTACTTCTGTTCAAGAGCAGGTCTGTACAACAGTTTTCTGACTAGTTCCAGATATAACGGTTGAACAAAATGACTTGCCATTCCCTCCCACTCCTCGGTTAAAAAGGAATGATCAAGGAAAGGGAGGTTATGCAAGTTACAGGCACTGTGAGGACTTGAGTGTTAGAAATCATGAGTGCTCTAGAGTGGTTGTGAATTTTCATCCTTTGAAATTTTAAAAACCTGTCTGGACAAGGCCCCAAGTAACCCAGTCTAACTTCAAAGTCAGTCCTGCTGGGCCAGGAGGTTGGGCCACATGATCTCTGCAGGGCTTCTCCTAATCTAAAGTTTTGTATGATATCATTATTCAAAAAAGAATAACTTTTTTGACAGGCAGAGATTTTTTTTTCTTTGTCCTGCACTTCATAAAATGTATTTGCAATTTCTAGGACCAAGAGGCTGAAACAGGTAAGAATATACTTACTGACTTTTGAAGTTGATAATCCCTGGAAATGTATAGTTGCCAAACATAATTACTGATCAAGAAGTAAATTAATAAATCTACCTGACTAAAATACATTTTTGCTTGTATCTTCCCTGTATTATTTTATTATTATTGATAAACATACATACATACATTTTGTCTCTTCCGGTTTCAGTCAACTTGCATTTGCAATGGTAACAGAGTGCAGATTAGCAGGAGTACTGGTTTGTGCAGGACATCAGCAAAATACTCCAAGATGCGAAGTCCTTCACCTTTCCTTCCTGATGAGAATTGCATAGATCCATCGTGGAAACTTGATAATTAAAATCTGCTTGCTTGCATTTATTCTGCAGTACAGGAGTAGGTAGGTTACTTATAATAATGCTGCCTGAAAGGTAGTAAAACAGCACTGATGGAGCTGAAAGCATCATGAAAAGGCTTTTTTAGAGGTAAGCTGCTACTAGCCCAAGTTTTACCTAAATAACTCTAGATCTTATCTGTCTAGATCAGGGCTGTCCCTTACTTTGCATCGTACAAATCATAGAGAAGAATGTTCATCAGGAATGGGTATATAGGAGAGGAAATTTCCACAAAGGATAATTAAGCAAAATCTAAGAGCTTAATAATCTTAACTTGAAATATAAAATAACTGTCCCAGCAGAATGGGAATTCTGACATGCCAAGCTGCTGATCATCTAATAAGGACTTAAAACCACTGGCAAAAAACTTTCTAGTGCTAATATGATGTGTGGAGGAGAGCTCCAGGATCTCGAAGATACTAGTATCACTAAGAAATGACACAAGTAATTGTGAACAGCTCATACAAGTGTTTCATCTTTATTTCTGTAGGAAAACAGAATAGGGCTAATTAGAAACTGAGGCGAACTGTTTTGTAATGTCTAACCCAGTGTTAAAAAAGATATTTTGTAAAAAAAAAAAAATAAAAAAAAAAATTCAGATACAGTTCGGTGCCACATGGTGAATGAACCACGGTGTTACCTTCTACTTAACAGAAATGGCATCAATAGATGGCGCTGAGTGCAAATTTTTGGGCCAAGGTGGTGCAGTTATTTGAAGATTAAATTTGGAAACAGATTATTCTGACTGTGTTTGCTAATGATTGTGACACAAGAAATGAATCAGCTGAATTTGCTGATGTGACAAATGTGTGAAAGTTTACAGGTTACAAATGATAAAGAGGAGAGAGACTTGGGCATGT